AGTAATGGCTCTATTTTCTTCATACACAAAACTACAGGTCGCTACCAACGATAGGAGCAGAAGTCCTACGCTTGTGATGTGTAATCATCTCAACATTTCACTCATAAGCATTGACAGCACTGGAACACGTAACGATATGTGACACATGTACTGCAATTGTCTTTTCACTAAGCGAGTTTTTATATGTTTTTTTTGCGCCTATACAATGCACAAACATATTGTTGAGGAATTGTCTGTGTGTGTGTTTGTCTGTGTGTTGGTCTGTACCGATTTTTCATCTCGAGACCTACAAAAGCTGCAAGGCTGAATATTTTGGGAACTTAATTTACATGCACGTACGGGCTCCTATCCCCAAAATGGGCGCTCTTTTTCACGTAGCTCCCAAGTACGGGCCCGTGAAAGTTTTTGCGGATAAGCTGCTAATTCGGGCGCCAGAAAAGCTAGAAAGCTTAGATTTTAAGGGGACGTTTTTTGACTGTCGTGTGGCCAGTCTTGATTTTTTTAGCTAGAAGCATCTCCCGGAAAAAGCAGTGCCGTCAGCGACCAAAAACTGGTTGGAACTGTGCAAAAAACGCATCTTCGCACCGACAGTCAGTGCGCTGGCCAATTTTTTTTGCAAGAAACTTTTATTGCGCTGGTAAATTAACAGAAACTTGTATTTACCGAGCAGTTTCGACAGCACTATTGTTGTTGCATTCCGGAACGCGCTCCTTGTAGCTGCATGTTCGTGTGTTGCTTTCAAAGAACAATCCGCTGGGACAATTGACTCGATAGCTGCCACCTTGGCCACAAAGGTAGAAGTAATTCTCACAGCCTGCCGAGTAAATCCCATCGCCATGTGCTTTGCAATAGTTACCTTAATTGGTACTTCAGTAGAGACAAAGTGTGTGGTACAAGTAGATGAGTTCTGTGCACAGAGGTTCCTCCTTCTTTTCTTATATATGTTTAATCATTTAGGCAAGTGTTCCAGATAGTTTAACGCATAAATTGTGTTTGAGGTTAGAAAGTCCTTAAATATGATTAACGCTCCCTTGACTTTACAACTGCAACATTCCTCTTTGCAACTTAAGATGATGAGGAGATGTGAAAAATTACTGCCTAGACGTATTAGGTTCCACCGATTCCCGATAAATTATACCAAAATTCTTC